AGAAAGACTCCAAACTATATTTGAAAAATTACGTCAATCGGGTTTCACTTTGAAACCACAAAAATGTTTCTTTTTTAAGAAAGAAGTTGATTATTTGGGCTTTGAAGTCTCTGGTGTTGGTATAAAACCCGGATTGCGTAAGGTAGAAGCCGTCAGTAATTTTCCCACCCCAAAAGATGTTCATAATGTAAGACAGATAGTAGGTCTAGCCAGTTTTTTTAGGAGATTTATTAAAGGTTTTGCGCAAGTTATTAGACCGTTAACTAAATTACTAAAAAAGAATGTAGTTTGGCAATGGGGTGTAGAACAGGACCAAGCATTTAAGGAAATTAAATTACTTTTATCATCCAGACCAGTCCTAGCTTTGTACGATCCATCTGCTGAGACACAGATTCATACTGATGCAAGTAAGCTTGGAATAGGTGGCGTATTATTACAAAAACAAAAAAAACGGTGACTTTAAACCAGTAGCCTATTATAGTCGACAAACTTCTCCTGAAGAATCCCATTTTTCCTCATATGAATTAGAAACCATGGCAGTCATAGCCTCCTTAATGAAATTTAGACCATATGTTTTAGGGTTGAGTTTTACAGTTGTGACAGATTGTAATTCACTTAGGGCAACGTTTCAAAAAAAAAGATATGATTCCTCGGGTTGCTAGATGGTGGAGCTTAATTCAGGAATATGACTGCAATATAATGTATAGGCCTGGACATAACATGACACATGTTGATGCTTTAAGTAGAAACCCAGTCTCTAATGAAGTAGGTGTTATTAATGCCATAGAGATTTTAGATGTTATGACTGTTGATAGTGATTGGTTACTCACAGTCCAATCTAATGATTCAGAGATAAATCGTATCAAAGAAATTTTATCAAATCCTCAATTCGATAATTTGGTCGACATAAAAAAAAACTTTGTGTTAAAGAAGGATAAGGTTTTTAGAAATACTGAAGAAGGTTTAAGATGGGTGGTGCCAAAGGGGTGTCGTTGGCAAATTTTACAAAAAAATCACGACCAGATAGGGCACTTTGGGCTTGAAAAAACGTTGGACAGGATAAAACAATACTATTGGTTTTCAAAAATGAGGAAGTTTGTAAAAAAATATGTGAACTCTTGTCTCGAGTGTGCACACAGTAAAATCCCTGCAGGGAAAAAGGAGGGGTACCTTCACCCCATACCTAAAGTTTCAGTTCCCTTTCATACTATTCATATCGATCATGTTGGACCTTTTGTTATGAGTAAACATAAAAATTTATATATTTTAGTTATTATAGATGCATATACAAAATTCATAGTTTTGAAAGCAGTAAAAAACACAAGATCAAACACAAGTATTTCGGTTCTTAGAGAATATTTTGGTACATTTGGATTGCCAAAACGTCTAATTAGTGACCGCGGAACCTCGTTCACAAGTGCAAAGTTTAAAAAATTTGTATTAGGATTAGGAATAAGACATATTCAAAACGCAGTTGCTTCACCAAGGGCCAATGGCCAAGTAGAAAGGTACAATCGCACGATATTAGATTCTTTAGCTGCACAAAATTACGGACATGATGAGAAATTATGGGATGAAAAGTTACTACAAGTACAATGGGGCTTGAACAATACAATTAACAAAGGTACGGGAAAATCACCTTCAGAAGTTTTGTTTGGGGTTAAACTAAAGAATACGAATGAAGGCAATATTGTTACAGAAATCGAAAACGAATTGACGTTCGAATCTTCGAGTAGTCTAGTCGAGAATAATGATACTGAAATATTAAATAACACCGAAAACAATACTCCTTCGAGTCCTGTAGAATTTCATTCCGATGTTATATCATCTGAAAACCAGACCAATGTTATGAATGAGCCTATAAATAGTCCAAATTATAGTGATTTAATAGGACAAAACGACAATATAATTTCTAACACAAAAATTGATAAGGTTAGATCTGAAGTAGATAATTATATATTAAAATCTCAGAAACAACAAAAAATATGTTTTGATAAAAATAGGAAACGAGCTAGGAAATATAAAGTAGGGGACTTAGTAAGGATTGAAAAGGTAGTACATATTATAGGAAAAAGTAGAAAGTTGCTACCAAAATTATCGGGACCGTATAAAATTACTAAAATATTAGACAACGATAGGTATGAAGTTAGCGATACACCTATTACAAAGAAGGGTAATAAATTATATACAGGTGTTTATGCCGTGGATAAAATATTTCCATGGTTATGTTTTAACGACAAACAAAATGATTCAGACAGTGTTGATAGTGATGACGATGAAAATGACTAGTAAAAAAAAAAAATGTATATATCTATATATTAAGTTTATCGTGACTTTATATGGCCATTATATAATAAAAATAATCTCAAAATTAGTATTTGTGAATTAAACAAATGGTGATTTTATATACAGTAAATACATACATTTTGAATAAATATATTGTTTGTAATAAATGATTTGAATTCTATTTATAAGATATGTTATTAAATTACTTTGCCTGGACTCCTTTTACTGATCATGTTTAATAGTTAAGTAAGTTAAGTTAACAAGCTATAAAAGTGTGCCATATTTTATGAATGTTTAAAAGGCAAAGTAGACTTTATTGATTTACGCAACGTGCGAAATCTATTATATGTGAGTACAAAGTGTACCGATCGCAACGTGCGAAATATAAACTGATATACAAGTACAACGTGTACTGATCGCAACGTGCGAAATACAAACTGATATACAAGTACAACGTGTACTGATCGCAACGTGCGAAATACAAACTGATATACAAGTACAACGTGTACTGAATCGCAACGTGCGAAATATAAACTGATATATAAGTACAACGTGTACTGAATCGCAACGTGCGAAATTTATATGTACTAATAAACAAGTACAACGTGTACTAATTAAAAATGCTAAATAAAAACTATTATTATTATAATATATAGAAGTGTGTGTATGTATTTATGTGCAAAGTGCACAGATTTCGATACAGCATAATGTGTGCTGAAATACAAAGTTGATGTATTGAGCGCAAAGTGCGCATTTGTACGTATAATTTTTTTTTTAATAAGCTTATCTTTTACCAATGTGCAGAAGTAAAATTATGGTTTTTGTTATATTTAATCGAAAAATGTATGTAACCACTTAGTTATTTTTACTTAAATGTTTGTAGTGCATATTCACGAGGACGTGAATGTAAATCAGGATGGACGAGCTGTTAGGTTATTAAAACTAATTATGACTTTTACTTATTATGTTCATTTTATTTTGCAAGAAATTTATATAAAAGGAACGTATCTGATTGTCTATGCATAAAATACCAATAACATTGTTTAATATTATAATGTTGTTAATTAATGATTTTCCATGTTTAACCTGCATGTATAATTAAATAATCATTAAACGTTATTTATGGAAATAAATAATAGTAATTATGTCTTAAGTTATGATAATAAGATATGAGTTCTATTATCAATTCACTCTGTGATTCTAAGTTGTTCATTAAAGAATATAAATATATTAAAGAATATAAATATATTATAAAACAAAATCTATTAAAATATTAATTAATCTCATAAAATTTTAAGTATCGTAAGCATTTATGATTAACAATCTCAATTAGTTTCCGTTTCACTTTTATTTCTCAGTATTCTTTTTGTGTCATGGCACCCTTGTTTTTTTACGGGAAATGAGAGGAGTACTATTATTCCATGGAAATGGCGCTCGTAGTTTTCTTTCGCATGTTCAGTCAAGATTTTTCAGAAAGAGTAATACGAAAACTAATAGAGGTTGAATACATTTATATAGAGATCAAGACCTCAAAAGAACTATTGTACAATCTAATTGCAAATTAATAAACAGCAAAAGTTATAGAAAGGTGTTTTATTAGTGAGCAATATAGTAAGTATTAGTTCGTATATTAAATGTTTAAAAAACTCAATGAGTACTATCTCTTTTTAGTTATATACGGATACGATCCATGGTTATTCGTAATGTTAGAATACGTGTGTTTCTATGGTACACAATAAAGATGATTATTATTAATTCTACGGCGGGATACATACTTTGATACAGAAAGGAACCGGCAAGAAACTCAGCAAGTTTGCTGTTTTATTTCATACAGATGTGTCAAATTAAAGTTAAAAAGAAAATTCATTAGAATATGACGTCACTTTCAATCACATAAAGAATACAAAGAGATAATTTTTCGTTAATCGATCAAAATACCGTGTCATACAAATTCATTGATAGAACTGATATACAATATGCTAACAGAAAATTTTAAAGTCTAGAACAGAATCATCACTACTGGCAGCATCCGTTCACGAACATGACGCCTGAGCCAGTCATCGCTACGCTCAACCATATTTTAGGGAACGTAACGACCCGAAATCTATATAGGTATGTGGTGTTGTTGTAGGAAATATCATAAAAAACTCAACACATCGACGGCAAAGTTTTAAATTTGAAAAACTAGACATAGTATTTATTATTTTAGGCCTAAGGTATCAGATAATTTTATAAAATAGGTCTCTTCACTAAAATAGTTTTAGAACCCTTGGTGAAGAAACCACAGGTGTAACTTGACCGAATAAGGAAGTCCATCGATACATAAACGAAAAGTAAGCACATTGTCATTTTCTCCGCGGCCGGCTAATCTAACGCAGTCGGACTCAGAAATCACGTACGCACGCTTACGAATTAGGAACGCACTAATTATAAATGACGCAATAATCTAACAGGATTCGCAATTACAATCTCTTTTCAACATTGTAAAGTTTCGTGAATCACATTTATTTACGTAAATAAGTTTACAAATGTAAACAAAGACAGCTGTTGCGAAATGGAAGCCGAAAATCTGCGCACTTAAAAATTCGCAAACATTATTTTTTAACTAACGCGTATTTTCATATCCTACGATGTCGATAGCCTTGATAAAACTAGAAATACGTGTTTCGTCACGCAATGTTTTCATTCGTTTTGTTTATTTATTTTCTACTCACCGCTAAGATCTTCGAGTGTGTTGAGTTTACGTGCAGCCATTATGATAACAACACAATCACAACACTATCTTCGATAATGTACACTTTTGTTGATATATTTCAAGTTTATTTGCTTTCTCATGCAAATTACGACAAATCAACCACCGTTCTACGTCCGTCCACTATCGTCTTTGTTTTGTGTTTTAATTTTGATCCGCTACATCAAGAGGGAGGCGCGCAGGTCGCGATAAATAAAATAATACAACAAAGTTTTGAGACACATCAACAATATCCTTAATACAAAGTAATAAAGTGGAAAATCTCAAATTTAAATTGCTTACAATATTTTGTGCTATTGTTTACAGGGTTTTGGATTGGTTAGTGTACATACCTTTTTCTCCAATCACAATACAATATGAAGACAACTCTTCACTATTGGTCAAGCATGCCTCAAGAATCAAATAGTTGCCATGATCAAAATAAGTTACAGTTGAACTTAACTTTTTGTCTATGGATGGTCAATGCACGTAAATGGAGGTCAATGAACTCAATTAAATTCGTGAAAAAAAAAAATTAAATCACACTACGTTAGGAATTACCATTCGAACATTTCTAACAATCAAAAATTAGAGTTAATAACATTTTGCATTGGTAGTTATTAAAAAAATATGTAGAATAATTAGACTTCTGGGTGACAACCACATCGTAAAGATAATTAAACGATGGAGTTCTCTCTACTGATCCGATTTCAATAAAATTTTAGAGGGAGCCTCTTTGAGGTTACCCTCTCAAACAATAAACTAATATTTTGAATCGTTCCACTACTGGCAAAAATATCAAAAACATTCGGACAAATATTTAAATAAATTAAGAATCTCCTCTTTTTGAAGTCGATCAAAAAGATTTTGTTAATCATACTTAATTTGTATCCCAATTCTTCCTTATACTTATTTAAAATAGTTTCCTTCCGTAGCCTACAATTTTGGAAGAACAGGATTCCTTTTTGTAAACAATTTATTACATGGCCGTTTACATTTTCAAGGCAAATCTACCATAGATTACGTTTCACAGCAGAGTGAAGCTAGGCACATACACATTATCATACTATTTCTTTTTCTATATGGCAATCCAAGTCAGAAAAAAATAGCATGAGACGACGTTGTTGTTGAATGCGTTGTTTTACAAAATTCTAATCATAAATTAACAATTCAAAAGTAACATGTGTGCTAATTATGTTGAAAATGAAGTACCAATACCAGCAGACATGGAAGAATTGGATTGTCTTTCACGGTAAGAAATTTAAACATTATTTATAATCGACAAACACCTGTTCGCTATGACAGCTGATTTCTAAGCGGGAAAGTCAAAAGGCGCCAATATGTACGGTATCAGATTTTGCACTTTAATTTATATATATATTTCTCGCTTTATGTGTTTAAATTTAATTATTTTTTACAGGAAAAAAACCAAATTAGACAGTTCAACAAAGAAAAGCTGGAGTTTGATGGATAGAAAGACAGATCAAGAGGTATGCTTTTACTGTTCCCGCTTTTTTCGTGATGCGTTACTTCATTTTTGGTTATACGATTTTGCATTAGTATTCGTGGCTCGTAAGCATTATAAATAGACAAAAGTGTGACATCATAAACCTGTTATTATAAATTGTAATATATTTGTAATAATACTAACTATTGAATGATATTTTTGCAAAATTATAGTGGTAGCAGTTTTATTGTACTAAAAGACATACACTTGCGCTGGTTAGAATTATATTTGGGGTTTGTACTGTCTTCTTGTTCCATATTTCTCTCTCATCATTCCAATACTCTTTTTCGTCATTGATAAACATTAAATAAAAACCAAGGATCAGTGCACAGTCACCATTGCCCAATGTGATAAATAGATAGAATATTCTTTATTGTAGACACAAAGACGAAAATAGGAGACATACAATTGGCAGCCTTATCACTAAAAGTGATCTCTTCCAGGCAACTTTGGTGATTTGTATCTATAACCTTTTATGATGAGAGTAATGTAATAATTTATTCTTTTGTTGTGTATCTGTAACATTATTCGCTATATACCTTAAGCTAATAACATATACCAATGTGTCTGTCTACCTGAACTAAATCAGGTAGGTAAAATTTAATCTCAACAAAATCCAAAATTTTACTTGGACTTTCATTACCAACATACAAGCCAGCCACCAGGGGTGGAATTAGATAATGGAGAATGAGTCAAGCATGAATTGTAGCTGAAGTTTTGCTCATACTACAAGTAAAAATGAAGCTTTTTGTAGTACGAGTCTTACATCTACAGCTATTCGAATAACAGTACAGAGTTCAACTTGTAAAGTATATTGAATTAATATAATATTATAAATAAGTTATCACATTTATTAGATAAATAGAATAAAAATAATTTTGTTTTAACACAGGTACTTCAGGAAATGGGTGTGAGTATACTCGAGCCTGATGATCATGATGTGCAGAATGAATGTAATATACAGTCTCCTGTGGTAAGTCGCTAGCTCATCCGTATATATAAATGGAAAGATAACATATCTAGATTAGGTTAGAGGGCTCAAATTTTCTGCACTTAGACGTTTTAATCGGTCCATTGTGAGTGAAAAGTTGGCAGTTTTACTCCAGCCAACCCGACTTTCAGAAGCGCAGACTGACATATCTATTAATACACAACTCAATTGCTTTGGTATTTTATAAAAATACAGAGTTGAACACAGCATAGATACCAGTGGCCTAATTGCCTACTTTTAAGATCTATCACCATCCCTTTCAAACATATAGCAGTTGTGATATCATTTATCACAACTACTATAGATAGATAGATAAATGCTTTATTGAACCACTACTATCAATACATTATAAGCTGTTGTAAAATACTTAGTTGGTGTATAGAAACATTAAAAATTACAAAAGATAACGATTTGTATCACCTTACTAGAGTGTGAAGCAGTAGCCCAAGAGGTATACAGCTCAGTGTTGGATGTTCCATATATGAAACAGACACTGATTTTCAGCTGTACCCTAGTCGCCGTTTGGTTGCTAGCCTATACATTTGTAAGGGATAGAATTGTGTAACTCCACAGTCACAGTCGGTTTTGAAACAAATCGTGATTTTAATTATATGTCATAGACAATTCATTTCCATTAACATTTCCCAATGGGGTTTATTTTCAAATAAAAGGAATCATTCATTCAATATCCTTAAAAATTGCGATCACAATTGCTATCACATGTAGTTGTAGTGTGATTTTCTTGAATATATTTCAAATTCAAAGTGATTGTGATATATTTTAAAATTAGAAAGTTATGCTACTAGTGCTGTGGTAAATAATATAATATGTAGAGTAAAATACACACTAGTTTATTGCACATAGAAACAGATAGAAGTCTATTAGTAGTATATATAGATATGTTGGCTAATGGGTGATAATACTTGAGACTTGGGAATATCTCTTGATGGTAAACCAACCTTTCTTCTTATGAGAGATGCACTAATATTCGTTTGGTATTCGGCATTTGTAACTATTTGGCTGGATTATATGGTTTTAGTGCTGAATATATTCGGATCTATTACCGTTTATACATGTAAATATTGAACGAAAATAATTTTATGACGCTTATTTGAAAAATATTACGCTTTGAACTTAAAAAAAAGTAGGGAAAATATATTATGAAAATTTACTAAAATACATTTATCATTAGATTTGTTACATATACTGTAAGTTGCAGAAACGTCCATTAAGGCTTAATGACGCCTTTAAGCTCTAATGAATGTTAAATTTGTATGGGTAAAGTCACTTAAACTAATGGAAAATTTAATGAACGTTTGTGCAACTGGCTGATAATGTAATAACTTTCGTTATAACCGCTGTAAACTGTAAACATAAACGCAGAAATAACACCAAATAGAAATATAACCCATACATTGTTCACTACCGTAGCACCGTGTGACGTCACTTAGTGGCTTGAATTTGTAGGGTGCGTTTTCGTTTGACCAGCAGCAGTTCCACAAACGCAGCCCCTTATCTCCGAAACTATAAATCTCAGCTATAATGTTACTTCTACATTATTTCTCAGATATTAATGGACTATTTATTTATAAAATAAAAGTGTCAACTAGCCTATTTGTTTTTTTTTTCTAGCAACATAAATCACTGAAAAGAAAACGGGATATTGAGAATGTGAACCCTAATGTGATACTGACGTCACCATACAGCCCTAAAAGCCCGAGGGGTAAAATATGCAGCCCCAGCCCGGGCCCATCCAAGATTAAGAGTCCTAGAAGCATCGATAAATGTGAGTTTACATCTTTTCTTGTTTCAGGGTTGAGGAATGGAACTCTAACCATTGTATTTATAGTCAAGAGAAGTAATTACATGAGAATATATCATATTAAGCGGTTTTTCATCAGCCTTTTTTACGTCCCCACTGTAAGGGTTCAGGCCGTCCTTATGGATGGCTATGGAATATGGGCCAAGACCCTCCATGCTGGCCCAATGCGGATTGGATGGTATTAACTACTGCAAATTCCAGGATCAACCGCTTTAAGTGTCTTTCGAAGCACAGAGTACTCAAAGATAATATTTTTTTGGTTGGGATGGGTATCCCGTAACCGACCCTTGCGAAAGTCGCTTAATAAAAACGATCGCGGGCCGCGGCGCTTATGCACTACGCCACCGGGCTACTCATTTGTCAGATATTTTTACCAATTCATCATCAGCCCTTTTACATCCCCACTGCAGGGGCTCAGGCCTTCCTTATGAATGGTTAAGGAGGATGGGCCATGACCCTCCACGCTGGCCCAATGCGGATTGGAGGGTATTAACGACTGCAAATGCAGCCGGAACCAACGGCTTAACGTGCCTCCCGAAGCACGGAGTAGCTCGAGATAATAATTTTTTGGTCACCCATCCCGTGACCGATCCTTGCGAAAGTCGCTTAATAAAAACGATCGCGGGCCGCCGCGCTTATCCACTACGCCACCGAGCTACTCATTTGTCAGATATTTTTACCAATTAATTAATTCAAATTCTCGTGTATTGGTTAAAACTATATGCTTAACGGCCAGTTGCAGAAACGTCCATTAAAATTGTCATTAGTTTAAAGCGACATTACCCACAGAAATTGACATTCATTAGAGCTTAAAGATGTCATTAAACAATAATGGACGTTTGTGCAA